GGATGCAGAGGAACATTTGGTCGTAGGCAAAATCCCGTCTATACCGAGGTGTACCGAGTTTTTCCAAAAAACTCGGTACACCTCGGTATAGGCGGGATTTTGCCTACGACCGAATGTTCCTCTGCATCCGGTCGGAGGACGTAATAATTGTTCCATCACAACACACAAGCGAAAACTAGCTATGGTTAAGGTTTTGTTTGGGACAGCTTTCGTACTGTTTTTTTAAAACGGCTCTCTAATAAAAAAATTTTGTACTGAAAAGCTATTTTAGAAAGCAATAAGAAAGACGTCCCAAAAGAGACTTTGTTTGGGACAGTTGTCTTACTGTTTTATAAAACAAATTTTTTGTACAAAATTTTTAATTCTAAAAATTTTTGTACTTAAAAATTATTTTAAAAAAAGATATGAAAGCTATTCCAGACAAAACTTAAATTATCATTCAAATGGTATATATACTACTGTCTAAGAAGGTAATAGAAGCTTTAGCATGATGAAAGGACTTTCCATAATGTTTCTTATTTTTTTTAGCCTGTCAATTTAATGAAGGTTCCTTAAAATAATTAATAGTAAAGTTCAAAGGAAGATTATCTTTCAATCTAATATTTTCTTCGATTACATTATTACTTTTTCTAACTCTTAAGAGATGGAGTATCTGAGAATTTCTTAGAGATAATTAACAATCAGTAATAGGACTATGTTGAATAATGGAGTTAAGTAGTCGTCACATCACTAACTAAATTAGGCGGTAGTTGGAATCTCTTTTAAAACCTTTTTTTTTTTACCACCACAGATATTTTGAATTGAAATATGAGTCATAGAGAGAGGACTATATTATCAATTGTGGGTCTCTGAAAGGATGCTGCTCATCGGGGTCATAATGTAAATGATACGACCGCAACATCCCGTAGGATAAAACGATCATATGCATTTACACTCTACGAAAGCGAATTGATGGGGTTTGTGAAGTTACGTATAAAATTGTGAAATGATTAAAGTTCTATCAATCCTTAATAATGCTTAGATTTTCTTTGATATAAAAATATATAAAAACCCACTTAATATGCTCAAGTATACATGTTGAATCAAGTAATATAATGATATAATAGAGTATCGATCCCATGAGGAATATATGATCACTTGTAATTCACTAGTATTGTCTACTAAAATTATCCTACTTAAATAAAAATATTTGTTATGAAGATTCAATCACTTAAAATAAAATTAGATAAAGATAATTGGTACACTATATAGATACAATATTTTGTATTGATGAATGTAAATAATATATTTTTTCTGAATGATTATCTTTTAATTGTGATGTTAATCAGAGAATATGCACTCTTAGATCTCTGTCGAGCTTGTAGGAAGAAATGATGTCTATATATCATCTTCTTAAGAATTTAATATGTTTCATATCCCATGCCTAGGCATGATACAAACTAATTCAATATTCTTGGTTATACCTACTTCCCTCAGTCAAGGCTCCACATTACACCTAATTTTGATTACACATATGGCCACTATGTACATTAAATTAAGTTATGTTAATATTGAAAACATCATTTTAATCATTTATGAAATAAGAGAACTCATTAGTAATTCATATGATACTTCATCAATTCAAAATAAGAGAATTTAATCAAACATGAAGAATAATTGAGTAAACTAATTTTTATTAATAACATGCTAGAAAGAAATACAAGAGATAGATATCACCAGATAGGTTCAATGGATCTCCTCTACACTCTTTCTTTTTATTTACAGAATTGTTTGATCCACACACACAAGCCAAATACTTTAATGGTGGTGTTAAGTACTTATCTAAATTCCCTTAATTATCTCCATAAGGAAATTTTAGAGAAGCACTTTGAATTATACTGAAATTATTTAAGTGACTGAACTATCTTACAAACATAACACAATAACTATTTATAGGAAAATACAAAACAGTCGTATGACATTGCGGGAATAGAAAGATCGTGCCACTATACACAATAAATGAACTAATGCTCATGTGCTATTTTTTTTTTTTTGTGCCATCGTGGCGATTGCTGACATGGACTAGTTACTTGGTGAACATTCGTATCGCTTCGCTGACATATCGTGTCCTTAGGAAGTTAGAACTGTTATGTTGCTGCATTACTGGCTTTGAGATGCAGTGGCACCAGGAGGGCAATTTGGGCACTAAGGCGTTATGCCTTGTGATGGAGCGGCATTGGACAACAGAGAACTCAAGGTCGCGAAGTTGATATTTAACCACTGCGGCGTTGCTTAATAGAGAAGTCGACATTGAATTGCTGATATTCTGATGCTTTGATGATGTCTTTGATGGCGTTGCGACGTTATTTGTTCAAACACCGCGATGTCATATGAAATTTAAAATTTTGTCTTTTATGTATTTTTTCCTGAATAATACAACTAAAATAACACAATTTCACTAAAACTATAACACATAAAATAACACATTATTTATACTTATCATGAACCAATGGGATAACAGATAAATTTATAAATATGATTATTCATATATAATAGTGACTTTTACATATAAATCTTGATGGATAATAATATGCATAACTCAATAGTCATGAGATTTCCCCCCATCTGATACATTAGCTTGAATAAGGTTTATTTGATGTGTGTGTCGATTTTTTACAGGCATAAGCCCCTCTAATTAATTACATCATAGACCTCAATCTAAAAATACTCTCAATTATGAATGATATATTATTCTATTCTTAGTTTAATGTATAAAGAAATTTTATAGGCTCTCGTAATCCAAAGAAAGATGGGCTCAATCGTGTTATTCAACACATGATGATCATATAGTCATATGACCGATCAAAAGATGAAAAATCTGGATAAGAAGTACTACATACAAAACACGCGTGATAGAAAGATGGAAGTGATGCCATCAATATAGCGTGGACGCGTGTGATTTATAGTCTCCGAAGAATTCAGGACCTACCCAGCGATAATGCATGTAACGATATATAAATACCGCTAGCCTTGGATCCTAAATCTATAAGAGACATATCATACTCCAAGTAATGATGCCCACTAACCCAACTAATACAAGACATTAAGGGGACCTATAAATTATACCTCACAATGGATCTAAGCAGCCCGTCTTAGATTTACCACATTGCTCAGAGAATTTTGTTCAAAATAGAATGTCACTTAATTTTTAAAAATTGGTTCTCTTTTCTCACGCATGCTTTGTATGTGGTGTTTCTTCTATAGATTTCTCCTCTTTTAACCAGTCGTATGCCATATGATCATCATGTGTTGAATAGCCCGCTTGAGCCTATCTTTCTTTGAATTTGGAGAGCCTAGAAAATCCCTTTATGCGTCAAACCAAGAAGAGAATAATATATCATCCATAATCAAGAGTATTCATAGATCAATGTTTAAGAAGTAATTAACCATGGGGCTTGTGCCCGTACGAAACCGATACCCACATCAAATAAACATCATTCAAGCTGATGTATCGGATGTGGGAAATCTTATGACTATTGAGTTATGCATAATATTATCCATCGAGATATGTATGTGAAAGCCAATCTTCTCCATAGATAATCGTATGCATACTTTCATCTATTCTCTCATTAGTTTTCTTGCGTAGAGTGTAAAGGTTTGCAATTATTTTGTCCTACGAAATAGTATGATCATACCATTTGCATTATGACCCCCACAAGTAGCATCCTTTTGGAGAACCACACTCAACTCGACCCAAAAATGACTTAAATGTTTGACCCTTTATATATATAATGCTATTTTTAATTTTTTTAGATCAACATGACTCATTTAACTCAAATATAAGCCATTAAACTTGGGAATAATCCGAGTAGCCTAAAGCTGGCTCGTTTAACCAAATCCTGGATGATAATTAGATTAATTTCAAATTTCAATTTAATGACACTAAATCTTAAAATTAATCGGGCCAATATTTAAATCCAAATCCAACTCAAAGAATAAATAGGTTAATTACATTTTTTAAGTCTAGCCAATGATAATTTATTAGGACCGGTCATCAGACCTAATTTTTCATTCGAATTTCATGCGCTTTCAGTGTGCTTTTGATGTATTTTGGAAAAAGAGTAGATAATACACAATTTTAACTACATATTAGCTGCTCTTTTCCTGCCTTTTTACTGAGTATTTAAAAAGCACAGCAAAAGCACATCAAAATGACAACTGTTGCATTCTGGAGTATTTGCGGTGGTAGAGAATTATATAGTTTAACGTCTTAGCATTGTACGAAGATCCAACACATAATCAGATAAGTGAGAGGGTATATCATTCATAAGAGACACTGTAGTTTTTACATGAAAACCCCTGAAAAGGGGAAAAAACCATTGGGCCTAGCCCAGTTTGAATGAATCCACTAGTATTTGCAGTCGATTACAAAAGAGGCCCTTTTTAGGGAGAAGGCCTTGGCTTGATATTACAAATGTACATCATATAGAGCTCATTACATGGTGGGAGTTACAATAATCAACATAGACATGTTTGTTTGGTTAGAAGGGCCATTGTAGGTGATGGGGGTCGGAAGGATTGTAGTCGGCAGGAGAGAGAGGTCTGAAAGACTTTAGTTGGCAGGAGACTGGGGTTAGAAAGATCGTTATTTGGTGATGGAGGTCAGAAGGATGATAGTAGGCAACAGAGGTCGAAAGGACCGTAGTCGGCAGAAGATCGTGGTTAAAAAAGTTTGTTGTTTGGTGATGGAGGTCGGAAGGATCATAGTAGGCGATGAAGGTCAAAAGGACCATAGTAGGCAAGAGACAGGGGTCAGAAAGACCATTGGGCGATGGAGGTCGGAAGGACCGTAGTAGGCGATGGAGGTTGGAAGGACCGTAGTTGGTAGGAGACATGGTCCGAAAGATTGTAGTTGGCAAGAGACCGAGGTCAGAAAGAACGTTGTCTGTTGATGGAGGTCGGAAGGGCCATAGTAGGCGACGGAGGTCGTAAGGACCGTAGTCGGTAGGAGGCCGGGTCAGAAAGATCGTTGTCTGTTGATGTAGGTTGGAAGGATCATAGTAGGTGACAGAGGTCGGAAGGACCGTAGTCGGCAAGAAACCAGGGTCAGAAAGACCGTTGTTTGTTGATGGAGGTCGGAAGGATCATAGTAAGCGACGAAATTTGGAAGGATTGTAGTCGGTAGGAGACCGGGGTCAAAAAGCCTTATCTATTGATGGAGGTTAGAAGGATCATAGTAGACGACGGAGGTCAAAAGGATTGTAGTCGCCAGGAGATCGGGGTCAAAAAGATCGTAGTAGTAGGGGAATACTTCAGTAGAACTCCTGGCATCAGGCGGTGATCCGGTAGAAGTTTGGGCCTCATGTGGTGGTCCGGTAGAAGTCTAGGCCTCATGTGATGGTCTAGCAGAAGTCCAGGCCTCATGTGGTGGTATGGTAGAAGTCCAGGCGTCACGTGGTGGTCTAGGAGAAGTCTGGGCTTCAAGTGGTGGTCAAGTGAAGCAATGACGTCAGGTGGTGATCCAGCAGAGGTGAGGGCCTCAAGTGGTGGTCCGACGGAGCAACGACGTCAGGCGGTGGTCCGGCGGAGCTCAGGGCCTTGAGTGGTGGTCTGACCGAGCAACGACGTCAGGCGGTGGTCCGGCGGAGGTGAGGGCCTCAAGTGGTGGTCCGTACGGAGCAACGACGTTAGGCGGTGGTCCGATGAAGGTGAGGACCTCAAGTGGTGGTTCGGTGGAGCTCATGGTCTTAAGTGGTGGTATGGCGGAGCAACGACGTTAGGCGGTGGTCCGACAGAGTTGAGGACCTCAAGTGGTGGTCCGAGCGGAGCAACGACGTCAGGTGGTGGTCCGGCAGAGGTGAAGGCCTCAAGTGGTGGTCCGGCGGAGGTGAGGGCCTTAAGTGGTGGTACGGCGGAGCAACGATGTTAGGTGGTGGTCTAGCGAAGGTGAGGGCCTCAAGTGGTGGTTCGGCAGAAGTCCGACGGTGGTCGAGGAGGAGCTTCTTCATTCTCTTCTTCCTTCTTCTCTTCTTGCTCGGGTCCCCCTTTTTAAGAGAAATGAGGGGTCCATTTATAGATTTATGGAGTGGCATGACCCGTAATAGGAGAGAGATCAAGGGTAAATGGAGAGTGGTTGGAAGGACGGCCGATGTTGATTCCCTTGATCATAGACCGTTTGATGGATATTTGAATGTCTTAGTGATGTCAGAATTTAGTGATATTGGGTTCGTTGGATTTGTCTCGTCGAGCCGCTCAATTCAATTATAAGCAGGTCATGTTTGGAAACCGTTTGGTAGCCCAAATTGTGGTTCGAACCTTCCAACATCGCTTCGGGTCCTTGATTTGGACTCATTTTGAGCTCGGATTGAGTCAAATTTGGTGTCGTTGGGTTTGTATTTCCAAGACGTTCAGTTGGACTATAATTTTACTGAAATCGGAGTTCGGATGGTCCCAATTTTAATTTCGGAAGTTTCCAACTTGATTTTACATTGAGATTCGTGCCCGATCAAGATAATTTTTTGATGACGTATCAGCATCAAATACTCAATGAGTATGATATTTATTGCGCTTTTGTTAAATTTTTGCAAATACTCAACAAAAAGCACCTAAATGCAATTAAAATTGTGTATTTGCCGCTCTTTTTAAAAAATATAAAAAAATAAACTAAAAATGCATGAAATCCGGACGAAAAAGTAGGTCCAATGATAGGCCCTAATAATTTGCACCAGCCAACACCCCTAGTTACTCACTCATTGTCTTTCCCACTTTACCTAATTTTGAGACATGATCCACACTCTCTTCTTAAAATAATTTTAAAAATTTTTGTACTAAAAGAAATTGATTTAAGAAACATAAAACAATCCAAACGAGATCGGCTTGATACCTGGACGGATCGAACTCGGTAAATCGCATTTCAACTGCTGCTTCAAATTCTCAAGTCTGACCGGGTTCTCGCCGGCCGACTGCACATCGAGTTCTGCAAATCCGCATTGCAACGATCTGGAAGAGGCGGAGCGGCACAGCTTTGTATGCTCGACCTCTCCGCCATGGCTTCGAAACAGATGGAGGAGATTCAGAGGAAACTATCCCTCCTCAGTTACCCTCGAGCCAATGCCCCTTCGCAGGCCCTCCTTTACGCGGGCGTCGAAAGATATGCTCTCCTCGAATGGCTTTTTTTCAGGTCAAAATCTCCATCTGTGCCGTTTGAAATTGGTTACCCCTATTCTTGCAACCTAGCTCATTGTATGAATGAAAAGCTCTAATTGGGGGTTTTGAGTGGTTGGCAGGCTTTTGGGGGATAGATCGCCCTTCACGCAACAGAACTGGCAAGGGGACAGTATGGACCGTGATGAGGAAACTGCTCGTATACAGTGTGAGTTTCTCTTACATCTATCTATCTTGGAAAAAAAAAATTTTGAGTCAAGATATCCTAATGTGTTTTCTGCCTCCTGAGATCGGGAGGCATGATATCAATAAGTGTTTTGAAAAAAAAAAATTCTTTTTCAATTTTATATCAATGCCGTGAGTCTGCAGATTTCATTTAAATGTTTTCATTTTTTTTTTCGTTTAAAACTATCTCGAACGTCTTCAAATTTATTTTTTTTGTATTTTATGCTAATTTGGAAATTTATTGGCACAAATGCCTTCAAAAGTTGATATAAATATCTTTAAATTAAATATTCTGTCTTCAAAATAACTACAATTGTCTTGATCCTACTTCCTTAGAGCTTGCATTAGATGTTGGTGAGATAATGAATAATTGAAATCTTGAAGTTGTTTCAAGATATGATGGACAAAAAAAAAATGATTGCTTCCACCATAGTATCAGTTTTTCCTGTTTTTCTGCTAGATGACTTTCATTATGTTAATGAGCTGATGGACTAGGATACAGAAGACTGAAAACTGAAGAATGAAGAATGGAATTAAACAACTTACTAGAATATTGTATGAATTGAAAAAATACAATGATGAAAATTTTTGTTTATACAGAAAAAGTAGCAAAACATTTACCAGATGGAGCTAAAAATCAAATAAGAATTTTTGGATAAATAATGTTATTCCAAATTACAAGTTGGTCAGTACAATCTAGATGGCAATAATTCCTTAGTTGAACGTGTCATTATCTGTTTCATTTTCTTCTTGTTTGTGAAATTTCAAGTGCTTCCACTTTTCTCTATTGCTCCCATATATAGGACAGATTGACATAGAACTTCAAATGATCAGTTTAGCAACCCAATCTTATAATCAAAACTCTATGTGCCGATGAATTTTTGTATAAGGACAATAATTAATTTAGACAGACTCCAATATTTTTGTTATATCTTCGAAACTGTGTCATGTCTGATTGTTGTGTTATGAAAAGGACAAATTTGTCTGTGTTGGTTGCTATGAAGCTTTAGAGCACCTATATTTTCAATATCAATAACATTGATGGAACTTTTTAAGATGAAGCATCATATATTTGCAGATTTGGCTGAGATAGCTCACTTCTTGGGAATTACACCTACAATTGATACAGAAGCTATCCAGGTTAGCACCAAAATTTTCAAGAAACTTAGGTGATTATGTCAGTCTTTAGAAACATGACAGCATAAGTTGAGCTGTAGTATATTTTCTTACCTTAAATGCTGATGTAATTCATTTTTTTTATGATGGTTTTAAATAAAAATACTGATTCCTTACCATTGGTATTGTTGCCTGGCATACCATTTGAGTACGCTCTACCTATGATAAAGTTAATTGATCAAGCATATATGGTCTCTATTAAATTCTGTTTATGTTTCAGCAAGGTAAAGCTTACCGTAGTCATACTAAAATGTAAAAAAAATATTAATAAACATTTAAAAGGTAGGTTTAGTGTATAGTTCTGTTTATTTTTTAGATTACACAACTTCTAATACTTATTAACCTGTCATTTTATGATAAGGAAACCTCTTACTTTATCATGCAACATTATTTACTTTGACACTTGAAGTTTATATGCTGCAACATTTTCCTTTCAACTAGCGGTAAAATCAAATATACAGATGATAATTATGACTGCTTGATGTGGATTAACCATTCTTTTATATTGTTTACCGAAGTATCTCATATTTAATTTCTAATGCTTGCTAGGGAAGAGGAAGCTATGAAGACCGTGCTGAATTGCTACATCTCGTTGTAGACCTTGTGGAAGCAAGTTGCTATGCTGACAATCCAGAGTGGAGGTTATGGAATTTCAAGATTATAATGGCATAGCTATTCAATATATACGGTTGATAGTTTATAGCTTTATTGCTGATTTGCAATGTATTACTTTATTTTGTACCTAATTTATCATCATCATTAGCTTGTTCCTGCTATTTCGGTTTGACTTTATGAATTTTTATTTTTCATTTATTTCTACTGGAGTGATGCTTGAGATTTTTAACCTATTCTTCACAAATTATTTTGAGAAACTCTTATCCATATTATTGTATGTCATCTTAATCCTTTGATATTAATTTTATCTAATTATCTATTAGGTGCATTTTTTGCACTTGTGCTTGTACAAATCTCCTAAGAATATTTCAATTTCATTGTCTTCATTAGATGTCACTCCAACTATTAGTCTAACATAATCATTCCTTAATTTATCCTTCTTAATTTTGCCACATTCATTTTGTACCTAATTCTGAAATCTTATTGATGTGTATGATAAATCTGATGGCATCTGGCTCTCTCTTGTGCTTGCAGTGTTGATGAACAGCTGGCAAAGGATGTCCAACTACTAGATTCAATTGCGGAGAAGCAAGCTCAAATTTTCTCGGAAGAATTCAAGCTCTTCCCTGCTGATGTGCAGATTCAATCAATTTATCCACTGTAAGACTATAGTTCACTCGAGAAGAGATTCATATGCAATTTGAGATAATAATTTCAATACAATAGTGTTCGCAACTGCCCATCTGGAATACTAATGATAATTATTTGATGTACTTTATTTAAAGTTCCCGTGACATCTTGTGATAATTATTTGCTGGAGCTTTGGTGGTAGAGTAATCCTATCTGGGAAACTTTTTCTTCTATGTTTAATTCAATGTAATTTTGAAACCTGTGTTGTAATGCCACTAAGGCCTGTTTGGTTTTGGTGAAAACTTCATGTAAAGCATTTGCATGCTAAAAGTTGGCATATCTGGCACAAATTTTCCATGAGATCAATGATATTATTTGTTGAAGTAATTAGGATTTAAATAATATATCAAGTGTCCTATAGAAGGTAGGAAACACACTGGATAATATGCTAAATTTGCTCCTTGAAAAATCCTCCATGGGCTATAATGACCAACCCCTCAAGATCTCGTCCTATTTGAAAACAAATGCTACCACTCCAATAAAAAAAAATGACGCCTTTCTAATTTAAAGAATTTAATTAAAATTTTTATTGCTTCTTTTGAATTCTTAATTTGGACTAATTGATATGATTCTAAAATAGATTTCTATATCAAAAATATTAAATATTCCCTCTAAATTCACATGGCCAACCCTTCATATTCTAATGAAAAAAATTACAATTAGTTATGAAATTTGGCATCTTAGAAGGTAGCAAATATTTGGAGGAAACTCATTAAGAAATTGGACATCTCAGAATGCCAAGGATCTAAGATCATAGGAAATAATGCATCTCAAAAGGTAGTGGTGCGTCAACCTTTTCAAAAAGGGAAGCCCTATTAAGCATAATATTAAATTATTGATAAAAAAAATTTAAATTGATTATCAAAGACCACAATAGTTACATGAATATTAGTATAATAGGAGGCTTATCAATTAGCTCACTAGGGAATGGTGTAGATAACCCACTAAGATATTCTCAGAGCACAATAGGTATGTAATTCTTAATAGGAAGATGTGTAACAAAAGGCTCATTAGCATGAATGTTAGTGTTATATGGAGATCCAGATAGATTGGTCAATAATTAACCTACACGCTTTTAATTGGAGGCTCACATTTCCTGTGTGTGGGGAGAGGTTCAAGGTTATCCACAAAATTCATGCTGTAGGTTTTTTTCTTTGTTAGTTTAACAAAGGCTTAATTTCTCAAGGTTATTGAATTTTTCATCTATATAATTGAACCTATCATCAGTCATGCGAGTTCTATCATCCATGTTAAACTTTAAATCTCTTAATCTTCTTTTTGTTAAAAGTAGACCTATATTTCCTATTAGGTTAGGCGACTATCTTATGGTTATATGATTTAGGTTAGTTTGCTTGGCCAGTATTTTGTATTTTAATGTCTTTTTCATCTCCATTCCATTGCGGTAGCAACCATTCTTATTTTGATTGAAAGGTATTTTTTTTTCCTGTAAATTGATTTAAAGGTGATACTCTGCAAAGTTTTCTCATTACCCTAACTAGCGTGTTTAGGTTTGGAATCTGTCATACATATGCTGTGCTGCTTGATGAAAATGGTGTCGAGTTTCAATTATAACATCGTCCACTCCCATTGTATTAATAAAAAATGGCTCTCCTTTGTTTAATTTCCAATGTTCATTGAAATTTGATGGCTTTCTGTTCTTTAACCCCATTTTTAACGAGATCAGGCAGCCGTTATTATGATTTTTGTATTGTAACTGCTTGGTTTTATGATCCTTAACTTATTTTTCTTGTGCTTTATTTCCTATTTATTAACTTTGTCATATTTTTTATGTCCAATACTGATTGGTCTGTGATCAAATCTCATGAACAATCTTTCTCATGCAATCATTTGTTATTTCCAGCTACTTCCAGGGAAGCTTGCTCTCCCAATTTTCTAATGAATTTTGTATGTTTATAATATACTATAAAAGTGGCTGCAGTAACTTTTCTAGGTTTTCATCTTAATGCATTACTTTTCCAGGCCAGACATAACTGAATTGGAGTCAAAGCTTTCTGAGCATTCAAAGAAGTTGTCAAGTCTACAGCAGATGGTCCAGGAGTTGGCATCAAAGGTTGTCGAACAACTTGTCTAGTCTAGCATATGGAAATAAGAGTAGAATATATAGGATGAGAATTCCTGCCTTGTTTAGCTTTTTTTACATGCATCTTGTTACTTTCTTTCAGAAGTCGTCCATTAACTTTATTCATATAGCTAGCGTTTATATTGTTGAAGCAATCCTTAAAAACTTATTATTTTTCAGCACTCAATCCATCTTTAATTTACTTCAAGAATTCTAGCTGATTATCTTTCTATAATTTAGCACAATCTTCACCATGTATTCACATTTATTGAAGCAACATCTATCTAGTTATCCTCTTTTCATTTCCACTTCTATTTCATCATCCATTTTTTCATTGGCTCTCTATTCTAATCGTTCCTTATTTGCATTGGACTAAAACTTTCCACTTGTTACTATTTATTTAGATCGCCAAGCATTCAATTAGAGTGTATTTCATAGGTCGTTCCCAAAGAGCTAGTGATAAAAAATTGAGAGGATTATTTTAGTATTTTTGGTGGACTTCCTCTTAATTATAAAATGAAGGAGATAATAAGCTATTGCAATAGTAGGGTCTACGATTATAGTCTTTACTCTCATAATACCTGACAGGATTCTTGTGATGTGGATGTTTATGCATGTGGCGGTCCCTTGCAATCAAGTTGGTCAAGCTTTTAGAGAGGAATTTGGTGTTCTTCTAGATAGATAATATAGTGCTTAGATTGATAAAATGAAAGTAGAAAATTATCAAAGAACCTATATTAGCAACTTTACTATAGCTCTCATGTGGATGGCTCTTTGACTCGTCATTCTCATTTTGTTTCCTTAGTTCCTCCTATCATTTTTCTTCAAGTTATTTTGTTTTTCTTTATTCTTATGTATACAAGACATTTTCCCCATGTGTTCTTAGGTAGGAGACATGACTGGTATAAAAAATTTCTAGATTGAGAGGATGGGGGAGGCCAACCAATGCTATATAAGAGGGAGAGGCATTCTTCAGGCCAGGATGGTTGCATTGATCGTGAATGTAATATAAAAGTAACTTAATGCATGCTACTATTTTATAGAAAAGAAAAAATAATCTAGATTTAAATAACTTGGAGAATCTTACTTCTAAAATTATTGTATGTTTGAATCACTCATCATCTTACATACAAACTCCTATCTTTGTCTCCTTCTTGGAATTTGAATTTTAAGCATACTTAAATCTTAGAGGCTTTGTGTGTAGGAATTAAGGTGACAGAAAGTATGGAGTTACGTACAAACTCCTTATCCTTGTCTCCTTATAATTTGAATTTGAAGCCTACTTAAATCTTAGAGGCTTTGTGTGTAGGAGTTATGGATAGAGAAAATATGGTGGCTTGATTTGAAAACCAAATACCTCATTATCTTCATATCTTATTGTTGCGTTCTGGAATATTCACGACGATAGAGAAATATAAAGTTTTAACGTCTTAGCTTTGTACGAAGATCCATCACACAATCAGATAAAAGAGATGATGTAACATTCATAAGAGCACAAGAGTTTTTATGTGGAAACCCCTAAAAAGGAGGAAAAATCATGGGGACTTACCCAGTTTGAACAAATCCACTAGTGTTTGTAGTCGATTACAAATGAGGCCCTTCCTTGGGAGGAAGGTCTTGGTTTGATGTAGCAAATATACATCATATAGAGCGCATTACATGATGGAAATTGAAAAAATCAATATTGACATATTCCTTTGGTCGGCATAGCCGGCGGGTGACGTAGGTCGGAAAGATCATAGTCAGGTGACAGTGGTCGGAAAGGCCTAAGTAGATGACGGAGGTCGTAAAAACTGTAGTCGGTGAGCAAAGTGATCATAAAGACCGTTGTTTGACGACGGAGTTCGGAAGGACGTAGTTGGTGGGCGACGGTGGTCAGAAAGATCGTTGTCTGGCGACGGAGGTCGGAAGGACCGTAGTCAGTGGGCGACGAAGGTTAGAAAGGCCATTATTTGGTGATGGAGGTCGGAAGGATTATAGTCGGCCTGCGATGAAGGTCAGAAAGACCGTTGTCTGGCGACGGACGATAGTGGTTAGAAAGAGGGAGGTCTGAAGGATCGTAGTCAATAGGCGATAGTGGTCAGAAAGACCATTGTCTGTTGACAAAGGCTGGAAAGACCGTAATCGGCGGGCGACAGTGGTCAGAAAGACCATTGTCAGGCGACGGAGGTAGGAAGGACTATAGTCGGCGGGCGACAAAGATTAGAAGGGCTGTAGTCGGTAGACGATAGTGTTCAAAAAGGTTGTTGTCTAGTAACGGAGGTCGGAAGGACTGTAGTCAACGGACGAAGGAGGTCAAAAGGACCGCATTGACGGGCGACATTGGTCAGAAAAATCTTTGTATGGTGACGAAGTTTGGCGAGAGAGGTTGGAAGGACCGTAGTCGGCGGGCGACAGGCAACAGACGACAGTGATCAGAATGACCGTTGTCGGGTGACGGCTGTTGGCCGGGCAAAAGTCCGACCTCAATTGATAGTCGGGAGTAAGTCCAACAATAATTGGAAGCCGGGTGGAAGTCCAATGTCAGTTGGTGGTTGGACCGAAGTTTGGCGTTAGTCGGTGGCCGGGTAGAAGTCCAGCTGCGATGGGTGGAAGTCTGAGGATGAATAGAATTCCGGCATCAGGTAAAAGTCCAACGACGGGCCGTGGTCCGGCGGAACTCCGACTGGTGGTCAAGGTGGAGCTTGGTGGCAAGGGAGATCTCGGATTTCTCTTCCTTCCCACTCTCCTAGATTTAATTTCGGAAGTTTCTAACTTGATTTTGCCTCGAGATTTGTGCTTGATCAAGAAATTTTTTTTTATGATATATCACTTAAATTTCAAGCTCCTTATCCTCACTTTCTAAAAAGAAATTTGAATTATTTAGCTTAATTAAGCCTTAGATGCCTTGCTTGTAATAATTGGGGAGAGTAAAATGTGGTGGGCTTTTATTCTTTTTTCAATGTAATCTAACTCATCATATAGAGGTGGTCGCTAAGCCAACTTGATATTTTTCTTTTTTTACGTCTAGAGCCCCCTGGATCATGAACTCCCTGGATCATGAATTACCCGTTTGACCTAGTTGCTTACAATTGAATTTTCTTATATAATTGGGAAACACTTGCCTAGCTTTGTTTGCCTATACCTGTATTAGTATTTTACTTATGTTGATGTTGTTGGTGTCTCTTTCTCTGATTTTTGGTAGAGGAAGAGTGGAATGTGTTTTGGTAGTTTGCTATAGGTAGTGAGTTCCTTAATTTTATTAGATGCTTATCATTATTTTACTTTATTTTTCTATAGCCTCTAAATCCTTCACTTTTGGATTATACTTGCACAATGCATGTTTTCCACCTTACAACCATTTATTATTGCTCCCTTGTAAAATACACAGCATCTTTATCCCTTAAAGTGGATTGCCTATTATTCCCTAAAATTCATTACAAAGTCACATGCAACTTGATATGAATTTCTTAATGATGGCATATTTACTATGCATTGTTTGATTACTTTGAATTCAATTTCCCTAATCCATCTCAAGATAGACTTGAGTGTAGAATAGTGTTTAGCTCTAAATTTTGAGATTGGAGCTTTATGTACAATGCTCTTCTTATTTATGATGTCTGCAATAACATTAATAATATTTAATTTTGCCTATATATTAACTTGTGTAGATGCTCTCTTTCTTGGATATTTTCATGGGCCATTGGATCAATATTCAATAGTTCTGCTTTCTAGAAGTGAATGGATCTCACTTACACATAAGTGAGTGATGTCGGACTACATGTAGTGGCAAATGCAATCCATTGGAAAATTACACAAACAGGAATAAAGCTTTGCAATTAGTTAACTTCTCAGGTTTCTTAGCAAAGTTTTAAGCCAACAAAATAGTGATTAAGCTTAGGCAATCAATTACACAAGATAAGATTAGAATCATAAAATAATCATATCAAATTATACCATGCAAATGTAGGGTTTTCAAAAGGAATCCCTAATTTAACAATTAGAATAGTCATTGTGGGAATCCTCTCACTTACACTCTTAATTTGGGTTGTGTGAATAGATCTTCATGCTCAAATGATGCCACGATTAAGGGAGGATTAAAAGGTGTGAGGAAGGGAGAGACTTTACCCAAAATTTAGGAGATACAAGACAACATCGACGATGTAGGTTGTTTATGAAGGAAGGACAGCAATGGGACGTCTCCTCACAAGTCTAGACAGCAAATTAGTGGGTTCTGGATGGCGGGACAGCAAGTAAAGGTTCGCTGAAATGTCTGGACAGCCAACTCAAATGTCTTGGACAGCTGGACAACAAACTACTGGGTGCAAGAATTTCTGGACAGCAAGCTAACTAATTCTCGAATGCAGGACAACAGTCTTGGGAGGTTGAAATCCTGTAGTAGTTGATGTAGGAGGAAATTAGGTCTCTTATCATGGGAACTTTAGGACAGCAGCTCGCAAATTCAGAAAAGGGTAAAAGTGGCAAGAGGGGGGCGGCTAGCATTGATTGGGGAGGTGGGTTGGTGATTTAATAGAGTTGCCAATCATGAGTTCTTAAATGTGGAAATAAGATTCATATCAAATCTCCAAATTTGAGATTTTTTTGGGGGCATTGACTGAGAGATTTAATTGGAAAGAACCAAAGGGAAAAGGGAGAGAGAGAGAGAGAGAGAGAGAGGGGGGGGGGGCCTTCATGGGGGAATAGTGATTGGGCCCAACTTGGTAATGAGTTAATTGTAGGAGGGAGAGGTTTCCAATCTTAGCAAATTTAATTAGGAAAGAGATTTAATGCAAATTTTTGCCTAATTTAAATTCAAATTCAAATTGGATTGATTGGAGGATCTTTCCTAATATAACTCATTCTATTTTAGGAAAGGAAATTTAAATTCAAATATATTAGAATCTGAATTTAAAAACCTTCCTAATTTATAATGCGCTATAAGCGGAATAGGGGGGGGGGCCTTGATGGGGGAATAGTGATTGGGCCCAACTTGTTAATGAGTTAATTATAGGAGGGAGAGGTTTCCAATCTTAGCAAATTTAATTAGGAAAGAGATTTAATGCAAATCTCTGCCTAATTTAAATTCAAATTCAAATTGGATTGATTGGAGGATCTTTTCTAATATAACTCATTCTATTCTAGGAAAGGAAATTTAAATTCAAATATATTAGAATCTGAATTTAAAAACCTTCCTAATTTATAATGCACTATAAACGGAAAGTATCAATTCGGGATTTGAAATTTGGAGGCAAGGGAGGGGGTGATTTGGTCGGCGGCTAGGAGGATGGGTAGGGTTTTAGGGCTGGCAGCTATGAGGGTTTGGGGCTTGGGCCGGCGGCTAGGAGGAGGAGAGGGAATTTAGGACCGGCGGTTAGGAGGATGAGTGGTGCATTTGGGCCGGTGGATAGGAGGAGAGGGAGGCCGTCAGCTATGAAAAAAAAAAATGAAAAAAAAAGGGGGAAGGGGGGCTGCTGCTAAGGAAGACGGCAAGGAAAAGTTGGGGATGAGAAGAACCATGAGTCCGAACACTTCCTACGACTGATGGGTAATGTTTTGCCTTCACCTAGGGACTTCACCAAAGTTCTCACAAGAACTCTCACAAAGAAACAAAATGGTGGAATTTTTTTTCATAGTAATCATCATCCACTCAAAGGAGGGGAAAGGGTGGTTATAAATAGCCAAAATATAATAACATTTCTAAAGACAAAAGTGCCCCCTGGGATCAAATAAACCTACTCCCTCAAGTGAGGGTAAAAACGGAAAAGATATATAAATAAATCAAATATAAATAATAGATCAAAAATAAAGTGGCATAATTGTGGCCGTTGATCTCCAGTTCATTCTCTGATAGACTTTCCATAGTCGGATATCCTCATTAATGAGTTCTCACTTAAATTGGTTGCAAGTGAGTTCTCACTCATGGAACTCTAACATTCAAAAAGTTGAGAAGTGAGTTTCATTCTTCAAGGCTAGGAAGATGCCTTCAATTTTTCCTTTTTATTTCTTTTGAATTAATAACAATAAAATAATATTAAATTATTAGAGTGGTGAAATGGGATATTACTTATAATAATAATAATAATGCGTTGATAAATTATTATTAAGTGGATAAAAACAAAACTCTCTGCATCCCAAACAAATACAGAAATTGAGTTTCAATAAAACAAATGAATATCACCACAACTCACTTCAAAAATTGAAATCCAAGTACTTTTGAATACTTACAATAAAACAATTGGCCCTTGATTTCGGCCATTCTTGTGGTCTAATTTACGAGATTCTAGTTCATGGACGAGTTAACAAGTCTTGGAAATGTCATAGAAGGTAGTGAGTGGATTACGCATGGGAAGATTTTTTATTAATATATCAAACAATGGCGAAAAGAAGATGACCTATGCATAGAAGAGATGATCAATCTCTCCTGGGCAAAAGTCACATATGCAATTTGTCTAAACCCTAACCTGTCTGCCTTATATCTTCCTGTTTTAAGCAACCAATCACTTAGATCAAAACTTTGTGATTAGGTTTAAAAAAACATAATTGCAGGATATTGCGACTGTTCCCTGCCATTGGCAATACAACACCTTGTTAACCTTTTATTCCTTGTCTTAGTGAATTTAAGCTACCATGTAGAAAGATTTTGTATAACTGCTATGTTTTATTTTCCAACTTGATTCTGAAATTATGAGTAGAGAAGTACAACAATTTCTGATTCAGCTTGTATACTTGTAGCCATTAACTGGTTAAGCCAAGCCCATTCCTGGTGGCTACTCATCTTTTTTCTCGGTTTGTTTTTGTTCTATTGATATGGGTATGATGCGTCACTTTCAGTATGCTTTTTTCGTCCAAGTCCTCAAATAGATAGCATTCTCCTCTATAATTGATTATTATTAACTTGAAATGACTTTTACATGTTGGACATAAAATATAATTTAGTTTCAGAATGTACGTAGTATGCTATTATTAGAATGAAAATCTACTATCATTACCTTAAGCTTTAATCATTCAGAAAACTGTTTTGAATTTTTTTTTATATAACTTTTAGGATTATTATTACCGGACTTCTCTCATAGATAATATCAGCCTCCCCTATCAATTTACAGTTTGCGCTTTTGACGGGTCTTTGTTGTACGGCCATTATGTAGGATGATTTCCTGCTGAGTATAAACTTAAAATTGTAGCATTTGTTGTAATAATCCCTGCTGTAAATACAAACTTTCATTGTAGCATTTGTTGTAACAGATCTAAGACATAAGCTGAATCATATTCTGTTTTGGCAGTATGATTATAATCCTAACGAGGAGTATGCAGAAACCGAGTTAAAGCTGCGAACTCATTTAGAATCCTTTCTGGAAACTGTTAGATCGTTCAATTTAATTTATACAAAGGTACTGGCGAAGCTGAACTCACTAATTTTCCAAATTCTTTACTTAATGATTTCATTAGGCCTTTTTAATAGATATTTGGTTACCAAACCTGTCAAGTGTAATCAATTAATAAGCTTTTTGGAAGCAAGTTACTGAGACTTGTATGCTATCTTCCATGAAAATTGTTGCATCTAATAAGTTTCTTGGTTCCATTCTAATTCATTTTAATGATAAGACTATTAAATCTCCTTATAGCCGGGCTAATTTTTATTTGAAAATTGCTGATTTTACTTTAGGAAATTCGGCCTTGGACGAATATGATGGAGGTACCTCAATTGCATGGATTTGGTCCTGCAGCTAATCGTTTGTTGGAGGCATACAACACTCTTCTAAAGGTTTTCCTTGAGCTTTCTTTATCTGATTGTCAAACTTCTATCATGTCGAGCCATTCACCATGTTTCTGTTTTTATCTTTTTTGTTAACACATGATTAAAATACTTTTATAAATGTTCTGATAGAAAAATTTCTTACTCGACTAAGCATGCCCTAAAAGAAACGGGATTCCATTAGCGGAAAAATATAATTCAACTTCTCGTTTCATACAAATTTCTAAGTGATGATTTTGTTTGAAGTGGGAAATATGAAGTTTTGTGAAGTTAAATACCTTGCTAGTTATCATTTGCAAGCAAATATTATTTAAAACCTGAAAATTTCGTAGCTAAAAATGGTTGCTGAGTGCTTGGAATTCTTCTCAACAAGTCGTATAGTGAAATTTTACATTCAGAGAATGAGATTAGCATCACTATCTCAGATCTAAAATGTTCAATTTGACTGAATAGTTGAATGTATTGTTCTTTGATTTCAGTTTATTTGATTTTTTTTTATTATTATCATTTGCTTTCACTGTACAATTTTGTTGGAAAATCTATCACGAAATGTTTTGCCCTGCAGTGTACTTTCGGTCATAGTTCCTCAATTCAACCAATCTCATTGCTATTGACTTAGGAAGGGTACTGGCTATTGGAACTTTTTCAATTTTAATTTTGGTTTTATCTTTGTTGGTGGTATTCTCAAATGATTTATAAAATTCAATTTTGTTGCATTTTATTTTATATTGGTTCATTGGGAATCTCATATTATAACTGTCATAGCAAAACTTTTACTTTTAGTATTAACTGTGGAAATATTGATGTGAAACCAGGAATTACTTACGAGTATTAATAAGTAATTGATTAAGCAACAATAAATTTTTAACTTAATGTTTCACCCAAGTAGATCCAAAGAGGATCTTAAGAAGAAAGTTATGCGTAGGCAATCAATCACAAACCGAAGTTAAAGAATCCTTTAAAACAACAACCAAAACAAAGTAATGAAATGATTAGTTCAACATAATCCACTGGTTAACAAAGCGATGTTTTCACCTTGAGTTCCATGAATCTCTCTCTTTAAAGTGGTAGGGTTTGATGGAGAAGCAAAGCCAATACACCATGCGATGCCACCACAAGAAAGAAAAAGCCTCGGGTAGTAGTCGTTGGAGCGGTAGTCGAAGTCGGAGAAGTAGATGGATGGTTGACAACGTACCAACGACCCGTAAAGATATGCTCTTCAACTGAAAGCGTCAATTGATACAAGATGCGGTCCACGTATTCTTCCACCGAGTTGTCGAAGTCCGAAGTGAAGTCAAGAAAGAAGATCGTAGGATGTCGGTCCGTCTGTGAGAACCCTCTGCGAATCCGTAATCAAGATCTGGATCGATTATTCATAATTTCCTTGAGTGAGGAGGGAAGAAGGTTGAGGAGAAGGAGGAGGAGAGGCGGCGGCTCTTAAGGTGGGGTTGGTTCAGCTGTCGGGGGGGGGGGGGGTGGGGGGGGTTAGGGAAGGTGTAGGTGATTTGGAGGTTCGATTTTCCTCTTGGAATTAATTATCCAAAGAAGGAATTAATTAGAAGGAAAAATGGATGGGAGGGAAGAATTAGAATTCAAATTTTGTTTTAGGCTAAAAGGAGGCCGGTGGCATGCATGGGGGGAAGAGAATATGGGGAGGGAATTAGGGAGCTTTAAATGGAGACTTTGAATTAATTAGGGAAGAGAGAGGATCCAATAGAGGTGGACGGCCATATAGAGCTAAGGGGGGATTTAATTTCATTAAACTTGTGGGCCCGGGAAGGATTTAATTGGAGATTGCCATTAAATCTGAAATTGATTTCAGATTTTAATGTGTTTAGGAGGTTTTCTAATATACGCTATTAATAGAAAAGCTTTTAAATTCAAATTTGAATTTGAATCTAAATGCGGTAACTTTCCAAATTAATAGGGATGTAATTTAGGAAAGTGATTAAGAGTGATTTTGAAATTTGAATTTCATAATTCCTAGGTAGTGGAATGAGGGCCAGCGGCTCGTGGAGCTTGGGAGGCCGGCGGTGAGGGGTTTGCTAGGGTCGGTGGTGGACGGGGAGGGGAGGCCGGCGGCACAAGGTGAGGCGGGTTGGTGGTTGGTTCGGTTTTGGGCAGAGGGGCAAGGGGATTGAGTTTTGGGAGGCCAACGGGTAGGGGCTAGGAGGGGATGTGGGAGTAGAGGAAAAAATAAAAGAAAAGATTGGAGCCACGAACCTTGGAATCCTTTGAAGGTTGATGGGTATTTCTTTCATCTACCTAGGGTTTCTCCTCTCAAGAACTCACAGAGAGGTCAAACAAGAAAGTAGAAATTTCATTCATAAGCATCATTAGTTTTAATACAATGACTAGGCCTTAATATAAAGGCCTCCAAAAGTAAAAACATCAAAGACATATGCCCTCGGGTTACAATATATAACAAATCTCTCGTAGGGGTACAAATAGAAAAACTGAAATATAAATAACAGAAATAAAACGAAACATCATAAATAGAGACTATGAATCGTAGCCGTCGATCTACAATTCCTGCGATGGTAAGTGTGATGAAATCTCCTGCAGATGACCTCATCAAATATGCTTTCTAATTCTTTGCTTGTCGCGTTGTATTTAACTGCCATTTCAAGGTCATATTAACTTTTGTTTCCCTTGCATTAACTTGTAAAACAGCCCGCATGTCAAACAAGGAAAATTAATCATATCCACTGGGTTTTTTTGAAATCCTACAATACTATAGGATTTCCATTGAATGTCGTAGCAATTCGTCAGGCAGCCTAGTAAAATTTCATAGCAGGGTTCAAAATAACCCTAGTTGTATATTGGGCCTTAAAATTATTTGTTGGGATGAGGGGTAATGAAGGGTAATGTAGGATCAAAAAAAATATTTGTGAATCATATTTCTTTTTGAGGCTAAATGGTAATGAAGAGGTGATTTTTTTCATTACAAGTAAAATTAGTTCATACAACACCTTTCTTATGGAGGAGTCATAACATTTGTTCCTTTTTTGTGTGGGCGAATAACCAATGAAGATATTTATTTTCTTAATGATCATGTTTTTGTTTATTTTGAGAGCATGCATGAACAAGTACAACACTCTCAAATATTACGGGAACATGGTTATTTGAAATATTGAAATGGGAAAAGAATTTATTTAGGCCATGTACACGCTATTGAACCAAGTACCTTTGTAGGTAGCCAGGTTATGGTGTGGGTGGCTATGAAAACTACTTTCCCTTTATATTATTTTGGGATTTAAAAAAAAAAAAAAAGATGATCCCTTGTGGTAGTAAGTAGGTGGTTGTTTTTTAGTTCAGCCTCTATAGTTTATTAAGGTGCGACTCTTGTACTACTCTTTTATCTTAGAAGTATGTGGTGAGAGGATAATTGAAGTATTATTTGGTATTATTGGATCTAACTAATTTAATTTTAACATTAATTTGATTTTTTATTAGGTTGAAAAAGGTGAAAAAAGATGCTATTTAAATCACTTTTAGTTTTTGATAAGATTTCTCATGCAATTATTCATAAATAATCAACCAGTGAGCCCTATGGATATAAGGTATAGAGGATGATCATCAGATGTCACTACGAATGAGAAAATAATGAGCAAGGATTCTTATGTCACTCATTAAAAAATTGGTATGTTGTATTTTGCTAGTTCACAAATATCATAATGAAAATTTTCAATATTGATTTTGTAAATAATGAAGAAAATATAGTTTAAAAAAGAATAAAGTATGAGTGGCTGAGCCATAGGTATTGAAGCTAAAATTTGTCATTATTGGATTTAAGAGTGTCAAAGAAAGAGATAATATTTGAAGTTTATATAAAGTTTTCTTGATCATTGGTTTCCTCCAGGCAAGAAAGACTATTATTTTCTTTAAAAAACCAATCGTCATCCTCTTGCCTTATTTGTTAAAGTCAAGATGAATACATAATACTATATTTGGAATCTTTAGTTAGCTTTTGAATGGATAATATATTTGTAAATAAGTTAGGTACATGGAGGATATTTCAATGTGTGAGGGATTTATTTCTAAGAATATCTCCTTAATTGTCCATGATTGTGAAGGATCTATTGGCTATTGGTTATTTTCTTATTGCTAAGATAGATATATGAGATTAATTGATCAGATGGTTTTTAACCCCTGAATGAATGATCTAGGAGCTAGAAATGAGCATCATTGAGACTTTAAGGGCAGGTGATATTGGAGAATGCTAGAGTACAAACATCTGCTATAGATATTTTCTTTCAAGCCCTACAAGCAAAATTTTGTATTTCTTTATCTTTGTAGATGACTAAATTTTATTTTTCTCTTTATAAGTTGATGAACTAATCACAATCACTTAAAATAGTTCTTTGCATTCAGTCGATATTTTGAAAGGATGTTTTAGGACTCTTTTATTGGATTTAGATTGCAGCCCTCAATTCCAAGAGAATTTGAGAATAAGGGCATGTGGGTATTATTATTATTGTGCTTGGAAAGAGACATAATGGTTTGTTCACAGAAAAAAAGAAATGTGGTAATGTAGTGATAAGGGCTACAACAATGGGACCAATTTATGACAATGCACTGATGAAGGCTGCAAGAAGAGAAATATTTGCGGCAATGCAATGATAAGGCTGTCATTATAGAAAAATAGGAAAAAAGAAAGAGAGATCAATGAAGGCCACACAGGATTGTGATAATGTAATGATGAAGGTTACAAAATAGAAATACTAGAGAAAACTCTACAGCTCTGATGCCATGACAAAAAATTGGAGAGAATTGGTTGAATCCATTTCATTTTTAGCTTGAACAGATTTTATATGTAGAATTTATACAATCCCTAGAAAGCATCTAATAGGAAAATTTTGAAATTAGGGAATAGAATTAATTATAAAATAATTATAATAATTTGCATATTGATGAGTAGGCAATAGGGATTCTACATATCAATAAAGTGTCAACAAAGGAGAAGGAAAGAGAATGAAAATTTTAGTGAGTGTAGGTACCATTTAGCAATAATTATGTAGATTTTCATTCGTATATTTAAAGTTTTTATTTTGTTATACCCAAATTGATTTTCATTGGTTTATTAAATTTATGACTTGGGCTATTTGGTAGCAAGTCTTGAGCAATATTTAAGCTAAGGATTGAACTAATATTCAAATGATTTGTTTAAGCCATTAAATCCTATGGTGTGCTTAAAAGCCTGTTTTGCTAGTGTTTTACTAGAAATTGTAGATTCTTTAAATCCGGTTGAAATCGAGATTTACTTTCTTCCCTTTTTTTGCCACTCTTCTCCCTCTCCCTCTCCCTCTTGAAGTTACAACTCGTATCTGTCTCAATCATTGCAACTACTCCTGTCACATATCGTTGGTGCTAATCTCGTCTGCTCACCCTCCAGGTCTCGAATTTTTGTACCATTCGTCGACAAGCTTTTCTTTTTTGTCTTTCTATATCTTTTTTTATATTTGGTATGTGATATAAGTTGTGCTGCAATACTTTAATACCAAATAGCCAAACAACTTCCCAAGATTTGATACCTTTAATGCTAAACAATTTTTTACCATCTAACATTCTCAAGGTTAATTAACCCAATTTCATAATTTATTAGATCTTACATGAATTAAATCTTACTTGTAACCAAGCAATCCCCCACACTGTACACAACATAACCTGTTCAATTATAATTTTATTTAGTTAATCTGCAAGTCTCCATAATATTTTCTTATTAAGCACTTTCTGGATGGTGTAAACTGTTGTTATTGTTGTAGTTCTTGGGAAACTTGAGGAGCCTCCGTGACGCTCATGCAGCCATGTCTGGTGGCCCCGACTCAATGTCCAATGAGCCTTCCTCTGTAACTAAGCTTATTTTGGATTGTGAATCTGCCCTCACATTTCTCAATCGCAATCTTGCCATTCTGTCCACTTCTGTTGCTCGAGAACAAGGTGAGAACCTCTAACTTCACGACATATAAACCCATCATTCCTCCATATATAACCTGCTTATGTACTAATCTATATTATGGAATTGGAAAGTGTTGTAATTCTTCAATGCAGCTCTCGTTTCTTCTGATTTCCTTTCCTAATATTTTACGGGTGAGTGTGTCAATATGTTTAAATTAGGTGATACCATAGATTAAAAGAAAACATTTGTGAATTATTTACTTAGTGAGATTCCTCATTCTCATTTTTTTATATTTTAAATGATTGTATTGCCATTTTTAGCTTAATAAACATGCTTGGCTTGGCCGAAATTTTTGCTCGAAGAACAGTTGATTTTTGGTTTGAATGAAGCTCAAATCAAGTCAAATGAGCTAAGTCATGTGCCACATTGTTGTCTTGGTTTGATGCCGATTTTGAGCTTGGACTCGATGAGGTTAAGCTAAATCATATTCATGTATGAACGGAATTAATCGAGATCATAGTTTATGAGCTATATTTGGGTTGAATCAAGGTTAGATTGCGCCAAAATTTACCAAATTTGGTTTGGTTCAAAATCGAATCGAATGATTTTGAGTAATCCTTAATCAATGTCAAATTGGCTCGAGATTGAATACTTAGTAGCCTTGGTGTTTGGATCTACTCATCTACTATAGTTAGAAAATTTGCCCTTTTGCTTACTAAAAGCCTCCAGGTCATTTGCAAATGAGTTGGGGACCTTTACGTAGACTTTGGCTCTTTATTTTCTTGAGAATAAGGCTTTATTCCCCGACAAATCTATACGCATGCTGGATTTCCATGGTTCTAAGTTTAGGTCATTTTCTTACTAAAAGCTGCCATGTCATCTACAAATGAGTTGGGGGCCGCTAGGCAGGGAGAAATTATTCTGTTTGGACACCGGACGGTCTGAAGACTAATCAGAATGTGCCACATCATTTGGTATACAGCGGTACCGAGCACCGGTACCGAACAAAAAAAATGATGTGACGCGTTCTGGTTGGCCTCCGACGTCGTCTAATGTCTGCACATTATTTTTTCCTAGATAGGACTCGGCCAACGGAAGAGAACTTTTGTTTTATTTTCATGAGAACAAAACTTTGCTACCCAAAAAATCTACAATTTGCCTTCCGGTTGGTTGCTATGGTGGATTCATCTCAGTCATAGACAATCAACCTTTTTTATTTGGGATATTTGATTGTGTTGAATAATATTTAACATTGGAGAAATATGCTCGTTTCTTTTATTCGAAAAATATGTCTAAAAGTTCATTTAAAATCAGTTCACCACTTTTAGCATACACAACATGTTTAGTGAAGTCCTTTATAAATAATTTTGCTTCAAATGATTTCAAATTCAAACTTGGTTCAAATCAAATTCAAATGAAGTTCAATGTATTTGTGATTGAACGTGTTTGTACAAGATTCAAAATTGATTCAAGCTTTCCTTCACACGTGTTATTTCACAATTCCTTTCCAACGATATAGTTTCATGATGTCAATCCTGAGGGAAATTATTCTGTGCAATCACTGGATCGTTCGGAAGCGAATTATAATATGCTAGGTTATCCGGTATACAGCAAAAAAGTGATGTGGTGCATCCTGATTCGCCTCTGAACAGCATTCAATGACTGCATAGAATAATTTCCCCAATCCTGAGATCTCATTCAGAACAAGACTTTTTTTCTCCTCACACTATTGGTTTCATCGTTGCCTTCCATAGTGAGCTACCATTGTGAAATATTCTTCCTCCACATCAACAATCTAGTCAATGATGATTAGCTATTCGGTCGGCAATCCGTTGGAGAACTACCATTGTGAAGTTTACATTGCAGCCATGATTTTTGCTCTAGTAAGCTTCATTGAATTAGGTTTATTAAATTACATTTGAATTAATATTTGAATTTGAATTTGTTTGGATTATTTTTTTCAGAATTGGCTTCAATAAGCAGCTTGTGAATATAATAATGGGCAAAATGATCTGAAATGAATTTTTTAGCAATTTTTTTTAATTGAAATTACAAGTATATTTATCTATATTTAGGCATGTGGCGCATATAAAGTATAATTCATGATGCATAACTTGTTAGTGAATAATTTGAAAATGTTTGCACGTTGAAATAGATTGGACTAAATATTAGAAGATTGAAAATAGGAAAGATATATTTCATTTGTCTTGAGGAATAATATTTAAGTTTGTTATTAATAGCCTTGACTTATATTTGGCTTGCAAAAAATAGTTATAAAAATATTATATTTGTTTTATTTTATTTTTTATTCATCTATCTCTATTATTCTACTTCATAAATAATTAAATAATATATAGAACAGTACAAAATCAAATAGTCGAATAAGCATATATTAAGTTTATAAAGATCAAAATAATGATAAGTGTTTTAGTTTTGTTAATAAAAATAATTTTAATATTAAGTTTGTAAAGTTTTTTTTTTTTTAATGAATTAAAAAAATTAATTGCCCTACCACATCTTGCTTGGCTATTATAAATGTTGATGCTGTGTATCTAAATTAAATAATATGTAATTAAATATATAACTTTTTTGTTTGATTCAATAATACTGTTAATATTTTAGATAATCTGATTTAGAAGAATATATACATTTTAATTTAATTATTAAAACTATTTTATTGAAAATCAAATTTAATATCTTTCAAATATTTTAAACTGGTTTAAAAATTATAAAAGTTATACTAAAACAAATATTTTTTTTAAGAAAAAAAGTAGATTTAAAATTTGCTCAAGCCTTTTTCTAAAATTATTTTTGAATTTTATCGTTGTAATATAAAGAAATAATAATAAAAATGTTGTATAAGAATATAAGATTTATTTTATTTTTAAAAATAAGAATCATTTGGAATTCTAAGGATCCAAAAAAGAATAAATTGCTGCAGTAACTGTGCTTGCAGGGATAAGAAATTTTTTTAATAAAAATTATTCTACAAATAAAATGATTTATTTGTTGATATTTGAAATAAATTTTGAAGAAATTTGTGGTTTCAAGATTCTGGCTTTAGCATGTGAAGTAAATAAGAAAATCATAATATTTAT